GTCTCCACTTTTTTTCCCTTTTCTTCCGACATTCTGAATTTTTCGTATAAAGTTTTACAAATATTAGAACGCTACATTCCATATAATGCAACAACTCTATGAGAATTTAATATAATATTTTCAAATATTGGTAATCTTTTTACGTTCTTTCTACAATAATTATTAATATTTGAAAAAAGATTTTAAGTTGGAACTTTAATATAAAGTATATTGAATTTTAATAAAAAGTACACTTTTCCCTAAATTCTAAAAGAATATATTAAAATGTAATACGCATTTTGTTATTTTTTCCTATGAAATTTCTTTCAGTGTGGAATAATTTAAAGACTTTTTCATTTAATGTTTTTTATCACCGACATAGTACTGATTCGGTGTGAATGACAGTGTACTGCCAGTACTGGTTTTAATATTTTTTTACCTCCGACATAGTACTGATTCGGTGTATTAGTCAGTACACTGCCAGTACTGAAAGTCAATACCAACAGCCAGTATTGGATCAGTACCATGCCGGTGTTTAATTACGGCGAGCTACGGATATTTCTACTTGGGTAGAGTCAGCATAACATTTGGAGCGCGTAGCGCGACGGAGTGCTCTTCGCGCCCCAAGGGGCGTTCAAACTCGCGAGCGCAGCGAGCCCCCCCGCGCGAAGCGCGGATGAGAATGTGTCCGCTACCCCGAAGGGGGAGCGGGCAGATTTTTATTAATTAATTAATTATTATATAATAGAGTATTCGCCAAATTTGGCACATGTCTTTGGCTCATATTAAGGAATGTTCATGAATTTTTTCAGCTTAAACGGAGCCCTATAACAAGTTTAAAAATTTTTAAAAAAATTAATTTTTTAAATAAATAAATTAAAAAAATTTAATTTTTTTGCCTTAAACTTTAATATTTTCTGAGCAAAAAACATTTAAGAAACTTTTTGCTTGAACGAAAAGTGAAAAAATTAGGTAAGAATCGATTCGTATATATAGAGTATATGTTGCACACAAAATTAATTAAAATTTTCTTAATTTTTTAAAAAATTTAAGAAATTTAAAACAGTTTTCAACTTGAAATGTTTTAAATCAATCAATTGAATTGGAGAAAACAAATTTTTTGCTTCACACAATGAGGAAGCATAATGTTTATTAAATAAATATAAAGGACCCCCTCCTTGTTTTTATTTGTCTTGATAAAATAGTGTATTAATATTAAATAGTTTAGTTGACTTAAATCCATTAAGGGGCCGTCCAGATACCACGTGGCCAATTTTTCATCACTTTTGAGACCCCCCCCTTCCCCCCTCGTAAACAATTGTGGACTTTTGACGAACCCCCCAACCCCCTAAATGTCCACGTGGACTTTTTTTGGTGAAAATTTTTTGTTTGTATGCTTCTTATTTTAAAATGGTAAATAAATAGATATTTAATAGTTATTAGAAAACATTTAGTCACTGTTTCTTTTAATTATAAAAATAATTTTCAAGTTTACTGCTAGTAAACTTAAAATTTTGCTAAGCAAAATAACAATTTTGGTTGAATCACATAACAATCACATTGGTAACACATCTTAGAATAACGTTTACCAACTAAATACTATTATTTTTTTTTTCACTAATTCAAATTTAGAGAGAATTTTTAATTAATACACTGAAAAAAATTTATTTCATTCGAATATTCGGTTATTTTTTATTTATTTATTGAGATTCATATATATATAGGGTAACTGCACCAGTGGTGGATCAGTTAAGCCCCTTAACTTTCTTATTTTGACTTTGAAGTTCTGTATAGGTTGCTTTTAGACAAATTCGAGGTTATTCTTTATAGTATTATGGACCAGATAGTTTCAATAGACATTACCTTCAAGGTTAGACTATCCATATTCCCTCCTCTTTCATTTCTATAGGTATAATGTGACTAAATGTTAATTAATCATCTTTTTATTAGAATTTTTGGTAATAGATAAATAGAAACTCTTAAAGCTTCAGTTTCAATGATAAATAACATTTATTAATTCTGGGTATTTTAATTCAACAAAAATTTAACAATTTGAAATCATGTGTTAACAATTAATAAACATTTGAATTAGTGTTAACTAAAATTTAACTCATAAAATTTTCAATAAAACAATGCGTCAACATGCGAAAAGTAGGACTGATCCACCACTAGATTTTGTTACTTTTTTGGTTCCAGTCGTGGATCACCCCAAAACAATGGACACGCGCTACTTACAGACGTAAATATTGTTCTCATTTTTTTAAATTGTAATATTGATCTGTATAACTTTCTTAACAATTACCGACACTTGCGGTTCATTTACTTACAAACGTGTAAACACAAATGACCATTTTTCTCGCAGTTGATCCACCACTGGTGCATGATCCACCACTGGTGCAGTTACCCTATATATATATATTATTAATTAAATATAACTAATTTACTAAATAACTAATTAATTACTACCTTGTAACAAATAATTTTTATTTGAATTAAATAAATTGTATTTGAACCAATAATTTCCATATTTGAAAAAAAAAACATTTAATTGTCTCAAATAATAATTAAGGATCGCCATACTATTATTAATTACTATTAATTATTATTATTAATTAATTTTAATAACTAACAAATAATTAAATAATTTTTAAAAGGTTGAATTTTTATTTTACCGAACTTTCAATTGTCCGAATAAATATTTGGTAAAAAAAATTTGAGTGTAAATTTTAAAATTAACCAATTATCATTTTTTTTTTATAACTACTGATTGGTTAATTTTAAAAATTTGTTGCTGACGCTAAAAAATTAGTTGTGACGTGTAAAAAACAAAAAAAAATATCCAGAATTTAATAAATATTCGCTGTCTCTATATTAACTACATTTTTTTTTTTTAAGAAAACAAGATAAAAATGTGTGTCACTTTTTTTTATTATTCTCAAGGAGTTAAAATTATTTGTTAATATATATAAGTGGCACTTAAGGGTGTTGAAATATTTCAAAAATATTTCAAATTACTCTACAAACTAAAAATACATAAATCTTTTTGGCAACAAATCTTAAATTATCGATCACTATAGCTAAAAATACTATGTATGGTAGTATTAAAATATTTATGCCAGGAATATCTGAAAATTATCGTATAAAATAAAAGTAGGTAAATCTTTATGGTAACAAATCTTAAAATAATATCGAAAAAACCACAAATCTACTAATCGTCATCTATATTATCATTGCTGATCCATGGTTGTGTTAACCATTCGGCAAGATTATCAGTTGCGAAAAAATCAATGGAACTCTCTGAAGTTACATTATTTTCCATCTCTACACAAGACACTTGAACAAGTTCCGTTTCTTTATCCCAATCCTCTGTATTTCTTTTACGTTGATTTTTATATAATATTTTAACGTGAGTAGTTAAGTGCGACTTTGTGGCAAAATAAAGGCCACATTCACTGCATATGCGTTTTAAAATTTTAAAAACAGTCTGTTAGTTGATTGAAGTATTTTGAGTCAATAGTAGTTTCAAAATTCAAGATGTATTTCAAATCAAAATTTGTTACGCTGAGTATCAAAATTTTTATCGGAGTCCTATCTGTGGAATCTTTTTAAGGGGTCACTTACCTTGCAGTACAGGTAGTACTGAATGGCAGGAAATAATAAGGGAGATTTTGAGGTAAATTATTCACAGTAGGTCTTAAATTCATTAAAAATGAAATTGTAATTTATGAGAATTCGGGTTTAGGCGGGTTTGTTATGATTTTTCACGTGTAGCACACCAGCCGGCGTATATTGATTCGATAAAACTCGAACGAAATCGATAAAAATATCGAATGACTTGCGCAGTGCTGCATAATACACTGGCGCGAAATTTAAAAGAGGGATAAAAAACATTAAATAAAATTTCATTTTTACTGGGTCCACGTGGATATTTGCTTTGACCCCCCCTCCCCCCCTCGTGGACAATCGTGGACTTTTGACGAACCCCCCCCCCTCCCCCCAAAACTGTCTACGTGGTATATGGACGGCCCCTAAATAAAGTTATCGTGTCAAATACTTTTTATTTGTGTCAAATAAACGAAATATTTGAGTGAAATAAATGAATGAATAGTTTCAAGTTTAACTCATTATTTGTATTAAATAAATTCATTTATTCAATTTAATTAATTATTTAATTAAACAAAATACGATTTATTTGGTTTAAATAAATGCGATTCAAATGGACGTTCCTGCTTAAGAGGCGTGGTCTTATACTACAGTTGCATAAAACTATACCGAAAAAGCATTACTTCGTGCAATCGTAGTATGCTGATGTCCCATGCGTTTAAAGGTAGAACTTTCATGCTACAAACGCTTTATTTTTCTCCGTGTACGCTACAAGAATTTTACACCATATATATTATTGGTTTGTCAATGAAATGAAGTCGCATGACGCCTCCATGCTCGTGCGTGGTCACACGCATGCAATGCCAGCGAAATAGCAGGCACTGTGCTTGCATTAAAACAGCCTTCACACGTGACTGCAAAGTGTAAACGAAATGCATGCGTTATGACCATCACTTCGTGCCCCGCACGTGACGTGCGGAACATGCGGCGCACGATTGTTATCTGGGATGGGCCATTATTGAACCAACAGTTTATTTCCCATTGGGTATAATTTTTATTTTTAATGATTTAATTTTTTAAAATATTAGTTTTTAATTTTCAATATCTTTTATTATACCTATATTGTAGGAATTAAATTTTGAATATTGAAATACCATTTCAATATTATAATTTTTGAAATGAAAAGTATACCTACCTACATTCCAATTCCCATATACCTAAAATTTTAATAACAATTTACTCATCAAAAATATAGAGAATTTTTATTAAAATCGTATCGTCTCTCAGTGACAAAAATGCAGTTTTTAAAATAAATATGTCTGAATAATAATGTATATAAGTATGAGAATAAATTGAATTTAAAGATGAGCGTGTGAAATCAATTTTCATGTGCTTTAATATCTTAAAATATGCGAAACGACTGTACCGATGTTAAAGGAAAGTTGGCCCGCAAACTGAGCTGTTACATTTTAACGGGGATATAAGTATAAGAACTAAGAGACGGGGAGTTGTCCATCTAGTAAGAAATATCGCACCACACCCAGTGCAACGTTTTCTAAAGATGACCATTCGCCTCATAATTATCGTAAGTACAATTTCAAAAATTCTATTCTTCTCTTAAACCCATCATCCATTTAAGTGCATGGCGCCATCTTTAAATCCTAAGGCCGCTTATACATATCTCAGCTACAAATAATCTTTTTTAATAATAACAATTACGTTAAAGTCATTAAAATTTTAATTATTCTGTTAGAAATAAAAAATTTGATTTAAATTTTGCTTTTTTTATTTATCAAATTGCAGAATTAAATTTATGATTATTAATTAAAAATATTAATGTTAACAATATTAAGTTTATTTTTAACTGTGTTAATTCAAAATTTGTTAAATAATTGTTTTCTTGATTAATATTATAAATTCATATAGCAAAATTCTAATTTTTCAATTTCAAAATATAGAAAAAATGTAAGAGCTTTTTATGAGTAGTATTATTATGAAAATAAAAAATTTGTTAATAAATGTCCATGAAAAGTGCTCTTATGTTTTTTCTATATTTTGAGTTTGAAATATAATAATTTTACGATATGATGATTTATAATGTTAATTTAGAAATTGGTTTCGAGACAATTATTTAAATAAATTATGCATTTATTAAAGAATCATTAAAAAAATAATTTAGTGATAATGAGTGCGAGAAAAGGGTTCTTCGTAAATGTGCGGAATGTAATATTTAAAGTGACATTAAATATTCCATTGAGAAACAAGGAAGGACGAAAGTGGTCTAGGCAAGGACGTAAGAAGTCTTGTCCGGGTGTACGCCTTTACTCCAGTGATACGGAAACGAAAATCTTTCAATATATCGAGCACTTTCACCTTGTGTTCTAAGCATGTTGTTTATATAGAGAGTAAGCGAAATCGCGATATAAAGTAAAGAGTTAGGTGCGTGAGCCATGAACTGTCTTATCACAAGCTTTACTTCCAACTGGTTTCATTACGTGTATCGTAAATGCGAATTTATGTTTTGCACTATTTAAATTATCTCGTTATTAATAACGATGTCACTCCGACTAAATTTAGAGTAGTGTTATTTCACTTTTACGTCATTACAGAGAATTTTTCCTCAATTTGCAACTACTGTTACCTCAGTTGATACCCAAGTATCACGTAATATTATATTATTGTAAACAGTAATATTAAAATGTCCGCCTCATGGTAATTTACTGTAATATTACACGTTTATTTGAAATACATAAAAATTTCAAAGTTTTTTATAATAAAACACAAAAAGATAAGAACCGGTAATATTACCATGAGGCGGACATTTTAATATTACAGTAATATTACCGGGTAATATTGTGATACTTGGGTATTATTTAATTTAACACCTAACAAGTTTAAAGAATAAGTAAAAACTTACGAATTTTTAAATCATTAGATTTATGGAACTGTATATATATAGCAAAACAAAAATTATATATATATATATAATCATTAATCATTGAAATAGAAAAGTAAAACACACAAATGTAGAAAAATAATTAGAATGTAAAGAAATCATTAAAATAAAAAAGCAATATTATACGGTGCAAAAAATAATTTGCAAGCCTGCATATAATAATTAATAAAACTTTGTTCAAATTATATAAAACAATCTTTGAAATTAAAGAAAATTATTGAGTTCAGTAATATGATCACAAAGTGTACAATATGAAGTCATTAAAATTTAAAAAGGGAAATTATTACAATTACAAAATTAAATTTACCATATTTATATAAATTTCCATGGTGTCATTATTAAGGTCAGAAAAGTCATTAAAGTCACATGATTTAAACGCCATTAATTAAAGTCACTGACCTCATATAGAAGCACTACACGTACTCACATTCAAATCTCTACGTAAATGAAGACTCAAAATTATACTTTATTAGTTGCTTTACATATTTTAAATTTTTTAATTTAAATTAATGTAAAATTTTATTGTAATTTTAAAACACTTTAAAAATTATATGTCTTGCAAAATTAAATTAATGAAACCAGTAGAATTTCCTAAAATGGATAATGATGTAAGAAATAATAGCCCGCTTTTATAACAGGACTGGAAAACAATAAATGACTTTATTAGCACCGCATTCATCGTGAAACTAATCAATTATTTTTATAAATTACATACATACTTCGTACAAGTAATATTTGAATTCTTTTTTTCCAAAGGTCATTTAACTTTTATTTTATTGGTATTTCATAAAAAAACAATCAAATACTTTCTAGGACATTTTGATCATAAAATTGTTAATATACATAGGTAAAAATAATTTTTTAACAAAAAGAATTAAATGTTTATTTTTATTATTATGTAAAGAATATATATATATATATATATATATATATATATATATATATATATTCTAAGCCGGTTCTATTTCCGTATAATTATCATGCGTGCATAAAATTGAAATATACGCATAGAATATCAACTTGACTTGAATAATGTAGTTCAGCTTTGTAGATTTCTTGAACATGAAAATTACATCATTCAGCCCCTCGGCAAGTTTCGAAACGCAACTGGTGCAAGTCTTACATATAAACACAAACAAAATAAAAATAATTTCTATTTTTTGTCACTAAAATTTTTTCATATTTTAGTTTTAATAAGAATATCGTAATATTTAATTTTAGATGTCTTGAATAAATTTCTAAGCAGGAAATATGATTTTATAATATAATATTTATCACTTAAAAAGAGTATTCCATTAAAAAAAAATTAAGCATAAAATACAAAAATTAAAAAATATTTGTAAAATATAAATGCTACCTAATAAAGTTAAAAAAATTTAGTTTCAAATGACAAAATATGCTAAACGAAAGGAAGATTATCAAACTTTAAAGCCTGTAATAATTTAATTAATTACTAACTTTTAATAATAATTAACCTTAGAAGGTGTCACAACTCCATCGAGAGTTTGCCCTCGGAAAACGACGAGTTTTAGTCATTTTCGCGCAGAACATCATAAAAATGAAAGAGTTGGCGGAGTTTTGAAATAAGGACCGCCTTTTTTGAAAAAAATGTTAATTTTAGGCTTGGTTCAAACATATGGTTTAAATTGTCACTTCTAATCCCCAGTCGTCCGTGCGTTCACAAGTCCCAAGTTTATGAGGGTCCTAATAAACTGCACGTTACAGTACAATAAAATTTTTTTAAAATTTTAGTTTTACAGATAATTAATTTTGAATTCAATGTCTATAGACACCCCATCAGTTACCCTTTAGAGGGTGAGAAAATTAAGTTACTCTTTCTAGGGTTAAGTAAATAATAATATTATTTTAATGATGAATTTATCACTTGGGGTAATGTATAGTAAGGTTTTATGTATTTTGACCCCCTAAATACGAATTTTCGATCTAGAAAAATTTTAAAAGCTGTATTTTTTTAAATTACAAAAAATGTTTTTTAATTGCAAAAAACAGGTTTTAAACTGCAAAATTTCGCAAAAAAAACATTTTTGTCACCAATGAACCAAAAAATTCACCCAGATAGCACGTAAACTGACAGCAACCTTCCGGCAAGCTTGCCGTGCAATATTGCTCACCTTGCACGCCAAACTTGCCGCAACCCTACTGCAAGCTTCAAATGTCCCACCTGGCCCAAACTTGCATTATAAGCCTACTGAAAGATTGCAGTGTAAGGTTACTGCAAGATTGCTCAGTAAGCTTGCACGGTAAGCTTGCAGCTTACCAAGATTGGTGCAAGCTTTCCAAATAACCATACTTTGAATCTAAAAAAATTTTTTTAATGTTTCGTCTAATTCATACAATTTTATTATATAAATTAGTTTTAGACCATACAAAACCACAAAATTAAAAAAAGAACTTTACTTTTAAATTTATACACTACTGCTTAATGTTATTTTTCCTGATCTTCGATTAATTTACTTAATTCTATACAATCGAAATTATTCTAATAGAGAGTTGGAATTCTTCATAATAGGTACTTAACTTTAGAGGCGGGTGTTGCAAAAAATTTTGTATGATTACACTGATTCTGATTACATCTGATTACACTCGTATAATCACTCACTTTACACCGAAAAAAATAAAATCTCCAAATGAGAAGAAAATTCCGCTCATAAATTACTTTTACATTTTATTTTCAATATACGAATATTCATCTACAAAAAGGAGGATTTTTCTTCTTTATTTGAGAATATTTTTATTAAATGATAACTTTTAATATTTTCTCTTTGATTGAATTTATTCATTTGCATTTAAGATTCTTTTCTATAATTGAAATTATTCCTCTCAAAATGAAACAAATTTATGCTGTAAAAAAGATTTTTATAGTTTCATTTTGTTTTGTTGCGCGCATCTTCAAACTGTTTGAAAAGTGACAGTTCAAAATAAAATGGACAACGAGCTGAAAAATCTGTTATCTGAAATTGGAATTTCTACATTAATTATTTAATTAACAAATTTTTCACTGAAAATTAAGGTTTTAATGTTTAAAAAATTATTTCTATTCATATTAAAAACTGTGATAAATTTATTATAATTTATCAACAATGCGATCTGTTTAACCCCTATTTTTTCTAGGGTTAGAATTTAATAATATTCAAATCAGAATTGATTATTTCATCAATTTGACCTCTACACTATTTTAAAAATATATTTACTTTGATTTAAATAATCCATTAACTTTTTTTCACTTGAATACTGAGCACTTTATTTTAAAATGAACAAAAACTAAAAACATTTTTAACAACCTGAAAATCTTTGGTACTTTATTGTATAAAAACTCAGCTCGTGTTTTCGCCGTCTATATTTTTTCTCCAAAAATGGTTCCTTTCATTATAAATTACTTAATCCGAGTAATAACGAGTAAATTAAATCATAAATTTCTTTTAACCCTGTAAAGAAGGTTGACATTTCTGAATTTGACGTAAGTTTGAAACAAGATGAATAAATCTTTATTTGAAATTATTCCTCTCAAAATATAAAAGAGGAAAATCCTCTCAATTAGATATGAAAACTTTAGTGCCCATATATAAAAGGAAAAGTTGCTGCAAAAGAAGAGGAATCCTCTAAATTTG